AGACAAAAATCTCACAAGCATACTGTCGTGAGTAGTACCGTCCGTCCGTCCGTCCGTCCGTCCCGTTTGACCGTTATCACAATATCTCAAGAACCATTTAAGATTTAAACTTAAGACTCGGGAATAGTATTTATCACCATAGGAAGACGATCTGATTAGATTTTGGAGTACGTAGGTCAAAGGTCACAGGTCACAGAGGTCAACTTATGAAATTCCTTGTATTGAGTTTGTTAGCGCGATATCTCAAGAACCATTTGAGATTTAAACTTCAAACTTAAGGATAGTATGTATCACCATAGGAAGACGATCTGATTAGATTTTGGAGCACGTATGTCAAAGGTCAAGGGTCACAGAGGTCAACTTATGAAATTCCATACATTGAGATTGTTATCATGATATCTCAAGAACCACTGGAGATGTAAAAACTTCAAACTTAAGGATAGTATGTATCACCGTAGGAAGACGATCTGATTAGATTTTGGAGCACGTAGGTCAAAGGTCAAGGGTCACAGAGGTCAACTTATGAAATTCCATACATTGAGATTGTTATCATGATATCTCAAGAACCACTGGAGATTTAAACTCCAAACTTGTTTAAATTGCTCTATGGCGGAGGCATCATTTTCGACTGCGCGCAGTCAAAATTCCATCTAGTTTTTTTACTGAAATATCTTTTTTAACACTTCTCATACATTACTGCACGACACTCATATCTAGTGCTGTGAGAATAAGGTACTAGGGTCTATAAATAAGACTACGCTTTGCGCATGATCTGACCGGAGCTCAGACATACAGGTGTATGTCGCAATACCCTTTATTTTTGGCGCGAACAATGACGTCACTGTTCACAGTTTTCCTTCTCATTTTGAGATGGATGTAGCTAGGGCTCAAACCAACGCAAGATTGACAGAAACATCGTACTCTATCTACCTTCGAATGTTCAGTTTGTAAAAATCTGTATTTAAAAAGATACAATCTTTTTTCTTTATATTTTCTAGTTGTTAGAAGTGGCAATTGTGAACATCTGAAATGTTGATCTCTATCAAAAGTTCTTTACTCAAAACGGATCCCATATTTTTAGGGTCTACCTTCTGCCAATGAGAAGGTTTTTAGGGGGCAAACCTCTACGCCCTCTAGGATTTTCTTAGTCGGTGGTGCGTGGGCGTCATGGTCTTCTGCTACAACAATTATTGGATTAAAATACGTCAAAATCTGCAAGATCGTCAACAAATGGTGAAAGACTGTTACAGATCCGTGATTATAGGTAAGTTGTGAAATGTATAATTGTATTTTCTTTTCTTATTTTCATCAATTTTTATTTTTACATCATTTTTTTTCCCTCTGCTAATTTTTTGAAGTGGGCGACGAGCGCACAAATCGTAGGTGTAGAAGCCTTAATTATGCCCGGGCATTGGCCTCCCTAAATGGACGCTATCGTTGCATTAAGTTTGTTCCATTTTGATTAGACCGAATTTTCCGTCTCTTTCGTTCGTTAGCCTCTTATTGGGGTAGGGTCGGCTCTCTCTTTAGAGACGGAAACCGTCTATACACATTCCCTTGATAACGCCACGGCCATTTCAGGTCGTAGCGTTTTGCCCCCAAAATCACCCAAAATGTCATTTTACCTCGTGCATTTTATATTGTAAATTAGGCCTAGGCTATAATAAATCAGTTCCACTTATCAACTTGACTGAAATAATCAGTTTAATAGTCCCTTTTTAGGAATTTATGGGTCAAAATCGAAATCCATGTTGAAAAAGATTTTCAAAATGGATTTCGATTTTGACCCATAATTTCCTAAAAAGGGACTATTAAACTGATTATTTCAGTCAAGTTGGTAAGTGGAACTGATTTATTATAGCCTAGGCCTAATTTACATGTGGATATGCACGAGGTAAAATGACATTTTGGGGGATTTTGGGGGCAAAACGCTACGACCTGAAATGGCCGTGGCGTTATCAAGGGAATGTGTATAGACGGTTTCCGTCTCTAAAGAGAGAGCCGACCCTACCCCAATAAGAGGCTAACGAACGAAAGAGACGGAAAATTCGGTCTACATTTTAATGGGAGCTAGGCCAGCTACACACTGTAGGTTAGACCAAATTTTCCGTCTCTTTCGTTCATTAAGCCTCTTATTTGGGTGTCAAGAGAGAGCCGAACCTACCCAAATAAGAGGCTTAACGAACGAAAGAGACAGAAAATTTGGTCTAGTATGATTTCAGGTATGATACAGGACTACAGGTTAGACCAAAAGCTTCAGTCTCTCTATATCGTCGGTCGTTTCACTGAGACTACGTCTGGCTCCACTAGACCTCCGTACATGTATATAGGGAATGACGACAAATGTCAGTTTTATTAAAAAATGACCCATACCCAGTCCATACCAGACAGTTATTTCTGTCTAGAGACAGGTATGATTCAGTTTCATTTCTACAATTAATACCAACAAAAAGGATATGATTGTATGTTTGATGTAAACTTGCCTTTTTAGACTTTGGACTTTTTGACAAGTCATGAATAAAACCCCATTTGAACTTCAACTTGAACTTGAAGGGGTGACCAAAGCTTAGACCGAAAGCTTCAGTCTCTGATATCGACATGTTGTTCCGCTGAGATTGCATCTGGCTCCTTGGACCGCCTCTATACAAATGTCAGTTTTATTAAAGAAATGACCCATATCAGACAGTTATTTCTGTCTAACCAAAGCTAAACTTAAGTTCGCGGAGATTTTGAAAATATATTATTAGACAATGTGATATCCGATCTATGAGTTCTCATATTCTATACAAATTCATTTATTTAAATTATTACCAAATGGAGGACAACATTTTTTATTACAAATTGGTTCATCTACAAATTTTATCGTCCAAGGATTCGGGAGATATCGCGATCTAAAAATTTGATGTCACCGTATTGATAGAGTCTAACTTTAGCCTTTAGATTGAAAGTAGAAGGGCATATAGTATCTAGCTTTGTCTGTGCTTGGAAGGGTTACCTTGCTGCAGACTATATATTTTCCCACTTTTCTGTGGCAGACCTGCCGCAGACTGTTCCTGTGGCATACTGGTATGCCGCAAGTCTGGAGCAAAGTTTCATCCTGCCGCAGATCTGCCGCAGACTGCTCCTGTGGGCAAGTCTGGAGCAAAGTTTCATCCTGCTGCAGATCTGCCGCAGACTGTTCCTGTGGCATACTGGTATGCGGCAAGTCTGCAGCAAAATTTCTTTCTGCCGCATACTTCGGCATACTCTTTGCCGCAGACTTAAAGTCTGCAGCAGATCTGCGGCATACTTTTCACTTTCCTATGGGATAAAAGCGAACCGAATTGCCTGATCCCTAAAAACAGTAGAACCTGCTGGTAATTTTTTTTCTCCAGATGAAGCATGAATAGCAATCAGATCGAGCAGTTCTGCAGATCTTTAGACTGCATTCAAAATTTAGTTATCTTTCTTGATTATCTTTCTTGAAAACATTGGCTTAAGTCTCTGTTCATGAATATACTGTATTGAATTGAATTGAATTTCTTTATTGTCATGCACACATATAAGGAAGGCATAAAACTCGTCTTAAGACTCACAATTGTATAAAATATACATTAACATCATCATGAACAAATAACTACAAATAACATAACATAACATAGCAATGTAATACAATTTAATCTCTCTGTTGAGAGCCAGAGAAATTATTTGTATTATTTGTACTCTCCTGGCTCCCAACAGATAATAACTTAAATATATTCTAGAAAATGTTCATGCAACAATCAATGTCAGAACAAGTCACATCCAAGATCTAAAATCAATTATTCATCAGTTATTTAAAAATTTCAAATAAAAACTGTATATTTTTGGTATTAAACGTACGATCCCATTCTACCATGTACCGTTTTACTGCATCAGCAACACAGCGCTACAAAGGACACCTAACAAGCATTGCTTTAAAGGTACTATGTCCCTTTCGCAGCCAACCTCAAATTCTGTAGAACTTTGCAGGAATTATGAATATGTCATGCATGTCCTATCTGTGTAATTCAAACATTAGCAGTGTCCTAATATTCAAATTATGCCAAAACACATTTACTTGCTAGACTTCACTGTCAGACACTATTGAGTGACTAACTGACTTTTTTTCTTCTTTGGTAATATACATGTATAAATAAAATGAGCTAAAGGGTACATGAGCATTTGTCTACATCAATAACCCACTTCATGTGATGGCCAAAATTAAACTGATTGAATCTTTGCGCAGCATAAAACGTATGACCATTTGGTACAATGGTCTGAAAATCTAGATTATTACTTATTGGCTCTATAGCTCCTAAGTCAATTTGACAACTAATAGTCGTTATTTTCCCACTTGAAGACATTTCCAAGCCCAACTTTTTTTAGGAAAGTTCTAAATTAGTATCTTTCAAATGCCGTTGGAATTTAACCTTTTCATTTCAAGTTTGGCCTGCAACTGGGACATAGTACCTTTAAAGTAGCTTCGTTTTTTTTCATTTCCTGTTACCAAATCATTTTGCATTACAATGAGTAAAAAACAATGTCAAAGATATTTCAATGCTCATTTATGTTATATCATTACATTTATTATTGTCTGTCACTGTTTATTATGTGAAAAGAAATGAAAAATAAATTTTAGAGCAACTACTATTTCTACCAATACTACTACTACTACTACTACATGCAGTTATCAACTTAATCATTCATACCTTTACCAAGCTTTGGAATTTTTGATTTTTGACAATGTGACATATTAAAGCTTACATCTAAAAGTTTTTAACAAAGGCCCAAATTCAACTATTACACCTTTCATTCTGGAGTTACAAAAAAGACAAAAATATCAAATTTACAAGGGGTATGAATAATTTAGTTTGATTTGAAGAAGCCTTGAGCACAGCAGGGAAAAGCTCACTGAAACTGGTAGTTTTCTTCTGATAATGAAGGAAGAACTGACTTTCAAGATACATCACCACTCAGTACTTATCTTTCTTATTTCACAGATATGTTCTTGAGTTACAATCTTGTATGGAGTGTGCCCAGGCCTTTCTCAAGGAACTTTCAGACAAACATGTTGTTCTGAAATTGTTTGTGAAAAGGAAATTGCTGATAGATTTGACGGCTTCTACAACAGGTTAGGGAGCTTGAGACAGGGCCTAATGTTATCACTTCAGGTAAGTCTTGTTTATAGGCTTAGCTAGGTCTTGATTGATGAAAAGGAGAGTTAGATCTGGGCCCCGTCTTATAAGGAGTTGTGATTGATCCAAATCAATCGCAAGTTTTCAGTCTCTTATCTCTATATGTACATGGTTGCGATTAATCGTAACTGTTTCTGAGACAGGTCCAGGGCCGGTATTCAATTCAATACTTAGAATGAGTAAGAAAATATTCAAATTGCATTTTAGACTTGTACATACCTGAGACGAAACCTACTGATAAGAATTGTCGCAATAAATGCTCGCTAATATAATTGTTTGCAGGTTATAGTTACTTTGTAAAAGAAACGATATCAGCCTTGAGCTGCATGTCATGTTTTTTAAAATTAACCAATTCAGTTCAATTCAATAATTTATTGCTTTTTTTTGTTGTGCAGACGGAATTCAGCTCGTTCATCTCTGTCGATATGGTGAAAGGATGGGAGGCGCTTTCAGTGATCTAGACTCAATACAAAAGGATATGAAAGATCTGAAAGAAGAAATAAAAAAGCAAGGTAAAACAATTCAAAACAAATACTGTGAAACAGGATGAATAGGGACACAGGGATTAACTTAAGACAAACCTGAACAAAAGTGTTTTGGCCAAAAAAAAATGATGCAGTCCCCGTTTTTTGGGTTTTTAATCGAGATATAACTGTAAGTCACCAAAATTCTTTTTGTTTTATTGTGTAGTTTCTGAAACTAGAGTAACAACCCCAATATTTTCCTCAGTCAGTTAAATCTGTCACACGTTCTAAGTCATGTTTGAAAAAGGAAAAATGGTTTGAAGAACTTCCTTTGTCAAACTTGACTTGTACCGAGCTTAAAGATAAACTTGAGTTCTGGTAAAAACAGAGAATGAATTCTCACATAATCAAACAAAACTTACACTGAATGTTCAAGATTACAAATGAATGTTATTTGCCAAACAATTTTGGTAGAAATGTAAACTGGCTGAGTAATGAGCATATAAGGAAATCAAGGTAACTTGCCCTGACACCATTTGTGTAGTCCAGGGGGGGGGGGGGGGTGGGCTTGGGCCCTCTCCCCTGGGAATTAAAAAAAAAAACACTTTAATTTTACCTTTTTTGGGGAGATGGGGCCCCTCCCCTGGTGCTCGTGGGGGGGGGGGGGGGGGGGGGGGCGATTTTTCAAATTTTGAGGGCCCCCCCAACAAAAATTAGTGCTCACTACTCAATACAAATCATTTCATTCACCTGATAAGAATAATAGTATTTCAATATAGACAGAATCCGAACTGCATACATACATGTAAATTGTTGCCAGGTAGGACAAACATTATGGCTTGACCTACCTAGCAACACTTAATATATACAGTTTGCATTCTCACTATTGAAATACTATTATTCTTATCAGGTGAATGAACTAATTTGTATTAAGGCTCTTCACAAAGCCTTATGCATTACATTTGGTTACATTACGAAAATGGCCTATTCTACCACCTGATAATTGCATTGAAACCTGCTTTAGCAAACATGTGTCAAAACAACAGCAATAAGACCTGTCAATAAAGATCACATGAATTGTTTCCCATTGAAGTGGGTACTAATGGACCCTACCCAGGCGCGCCGGAAGCAGTTTGGGATTGGGGGGGCAAACATTCAGGGGGCTCACATTCCAGGGGCAGTGACGTAATGAGAAAAAAAGTTCGGAAGGGGGGGGGGGCAGACGAAAAATCTGCATCACCACCAGTCTTACACGTTACATGCAGGTCCCGCGGAACGTTTTTCAAAGTGGAGTATTATCGATCAGGTAGAGCGTAAATTGGCGTGGGGTCCAGGGCATGAGCCTCGGCAGGGGGTCAAGGGGCTGAGCCCCCGGAAGCTCAGGGGTTTTAGGTATTTAATTACGGTCAGATGAGCATCCAGGGGCCCGCCTTAGGGCCCTTGGTGGGGTCCAGGGGGCAGAGCCCCCGGAAGCTCAGGGGTTTTAGGTATTAATTAAGGTCAGATGAGCATCCAGGGGGCCGCCTCAGGGCCCTTGGTGGGGTCCAGGGGGCAGAGCCCCCAGAAGCTCAGGGGTTTAGGTATTTAATTAAGGTCAGATGAGCATCCAGGGGGCCGCCTTAGGGCCCTTGGTGGGGTCCAGGGGCAAAGCCCCGGAAGCTCAGGGGTTTGAGGTATTTAATTACGGTCAGATGAGCATCCAGGGGGCCGCCTTAGGGCCCGTGGTGGGGTCCAGGGGGCAAAGCCCCGGAAGCTCAGGGGTTTTAGGTATTTAATTAAGGTCAGATGAGCATCCAGGGGGCCGCCTTAGGGCCCTTGGTGGGGTCCAGGGGGCAGAGCCCCCGGAAGCTCAGGGGATTTAGGTATTTAATTAAGGTCAGATGAGCATCCAGGGGGCCGCCTTAGGGCCCTTGGTGGGGTCAAGGGGCAAAGCCCCGGAAGCTCAGGGGTTTGAGGTATTTAATTACGGTCAGATGAGCATCCAGGGGGCCGCCTTAGGGCCCGTGGTGGGGTCCAGGGGGCAAAGCCCCGGAAGCTCAGGGGTTTTAGGTATTTAAATACGGTCAGATGAGCATCCAGGGGCCCGCCTTAGGTCCCTTAGTGGGGTCCGGGGGCAGAGCCCCCGTAAGCTCTGGGGTTTTAAGCATTTAATTACGGTCAGATGAGCATTTTTTATACCTTATTTGTGACATTGGCAGGTCACTTATTTTTTTCTCCGTCTTTCTTTCTTTTTCTCTTTAACATACTTTTTCAAAAAGGAGGGGGGGGGGGGGGGGGGCTCGAGCCCAGCCACTTTGCAGACCATGACATAAAGGCTTCTAAATAAGCGTATTTCGCGTATTTCGCCCGACTGTAATTTGGGAATTTCTTATTTTCCAACAAACGCATAAGAAGGTATGACTTACAAAAAAAATGGAGAAAAAATGCCGGAAAATCATGTCACAACATCAACATTTGTATATCACTTGTTTCGAATAAGAAATACATCACCCCCCCCCCCCCCCCCATCAGTACGCCAACGTTCAGGGGCTCATGTCTTCTCACCCCTATAACAAAAAAACGGACACGCTTTCCCATTCTCGCACAATATGTCCACGATATGCGCGTATCGCTATTATAGAGACCTCCATTGATAAATACCGTATAGGTGGCATGCGCAATGTTTATGAAATTTAATTCCTGTGAACTTTTCTTTTTCTTTGAATGGAATTGTATATGTGATTTAATTCAGGTTTTTATTATTGTTACGTTCTTTTGGATTAAAAATACAAACCATGTTTACTCCTTTACTGTTTTTTGTTTTTTTTTGGGGGGGGGGGGGGGCGTTTTGGGGGGGCAAAAATGCGTTTTGCCCCCCCACTTTTTGACTGGGGGGCAACTGCCCCCCCCTGCCCCCCCACTTCCGGCGCCTATGACCCTACCTATAAAGAGCTCTTTCCTTGTCTCCCTTGAGAAGGCTTTATCTGGGTTCACTAAAGTCGGTTTTGAATTGATTGGTCGTTCATGTACTTGTATATAATTAAGACAAGTCAATTTTGTGCATTAGAGAGAGGTGAAAAACATTTTGTACCGATTGAAATGTAGAAAATATCTTTTATTTAAGTTTTTTTCTTTAATTTTCTTTCCAGGAGAAAATATAGCACAGCTCTTGGATAGAGACCCAAAGCACCTGCAGAGATTGGTAAATATACAGTAGTCTGTGGGTTTAGGTTAAGTGATCTTTACTTTTTATGTACTCTTTGCAGTGTACCAATCACCTAAAAAGAAAAGAAAAAGAATAGCTTAAAGGTAATGACCAGAAGTGGTAAAATTGCAGTTCAAGGGTTTTGGGTACAAAATATCCATTCAATAAACAAGGTAGTTTAAATATTGCCTTCAGAAGTTTAGATGGCAATACATGTACATGTACTTCAACCTAATTTCGCAAAAAACAGAAATATATGGCCAAATTTTCAATGTTGAAGTGTCGTGGTCGAGTGGTTTAAGGCGCTTGACTTGGAGATGTAAGGTCGAGGGTTTGTATCCCGACACGCCACTAATATCCTTTGGCAAGATATTAACCTGCACTTGCTACTCTCCACCCAGGTGTTAAATGGGTACCCGGTAGTAGGATGCCACCGTCATTGTTGGTCAAACAGATTTTGAGCGTCATATAACGCCTGGCTGGAGTGGAGATTGTTGTGCACACAGTATGTGCGGGCAAGCACTGAATCCAATGACCGGGGTTATAGTATATTTGTAAAGTGCTTAGAGACATTTGTATTAAGTGCTATATAAAAATTAAATATTATTATTATTATTATTTGCAATATCTATCCAGGCCAAATCGCTATGATAATTTACCAAGTATATCATTAGAAGGCGGTTTCCCGGAAAAATTTGTATCATCACGTATTAGTCAAAACATATTCTTTTACATGATTGGTAATAAGAGTCTCCATTTCAATTTTGAGAGGGGGGTGTTTCCAAAACTGGTCTATACCTTTAAACTAGAATGTATGAATTCAACCTGGCATTCTATGGCCGGACGGTTACAGAGTGTGAAAAAAAATAACAAAAGAAATAAAACCTGTTACATTGACATTTTACATACATAATTATGTCTACATTTGTTTTTAATTCAATTTACACTTGCACTTAGTATTCAGATTGTAGATTCAGGTGAGTTAAAAAATTTGTGGACATCACTTTGATTTCATGATGTATTTTCCATGTTTTTTATCTCTTTGCAGAGAATCAAATTAACTATGCAGGCTTCAGTGAAGTCATAAAGCTTCATGATGGAAAATACGGCCCAATCTACAAAGCTAAACACAGCTGCGCGAAAAAGATGTTGGTTTTCAAAACTTTTGAAGACAAGTATGACATTATGCAGTAGGCTTGCTGTTGCACCATGTGAGAGAGCAGGCGCGGATCCAGGATTTCTTAGGGGAGGGGGCCGAACTTTTTTTTTTTTTTGCTCCCGAAAATTTGAAAATCGCGCCGGCCGAAAAGTGAGCACATTTTTTTTTTTTTGATCCTCAAAAAAATTTCAATTTGCACCCCCCCTTGAGCGCCAGGGGGGGGGGGCCCAACCCCCAAAAATCGTAAAAATCACGTGATTTTACATGATTTTTTTCTCAAGGGGGGGGGGGGCCCGGGCCCCCCGGGCCCCCCCCCTGGATCTGCCACTGTGAGAGAGAGGGAAGGGGGGGGGGGGGCAGGATTAGGGACCAACTGGCGTTATAGTTATCCTTAGAACTATAAGCTGAGAAAGATTACCAGTCTTTTTCAAGACTACCAACAGTCGATCCTTTCAGGACTACACACACACTCAAGAAAGAAAGATTTATACTGACAGTCCTGTTCAGGACTCCCCAATCCTCCCCTCTCTCTCACATGGTGCAACCGCAAGCCTAATGTATATCTACATCTACATGCAAGCCGATACTATAAGCAGCTTCTAAGTATGACATTGTTTTTTGTTAATGTTAATGTTTACATGCAGTGTCGGCACAGGTGTAAAAAAGAAAAAAAGTTTTCATGATTTATTAGGATAACAAATAAGTGACTTTTTCAAAATTTGAAATGTGGGTAATAAATTATATTATTACGTATACATAGTAATTTTACCATGCAGTTCAAATGCATATTTTGCCCAGTCCAAAAACTAGCAGTTTTAGGGGGGGGGGGGGGGGGGGGCAATATTTTCTTGATATTTTCACTCTTCCTGGTTTTGCCATTGACTTTGTGTAAAACAAATTGTGGTCAATATTGAGCCCAATACAAGTTAAACAATTCAGTAGTCAACGGGTTAATATGATTTATTATTGTTATTATCATTTTTTTTAAAGTTATTATTATTATATAATTATATAATATTGACTGGCCTTGAGGGGTATATCAGAAATATTGACCAAGCTCAGATCATATTGCCCCGAGTCGAAAGACGAGGGCAATATGGTCTTAGCGCGGTCAATATTTCTGATATCCCCCGAAAGTAAAGCCAGTCAATATTTTTATTGTTATCCAAATCAGACATCTAGAGCAAATACAGAAATCCACCATGACAATCTTAAGAACTGAACAAACTTTGTCAAACTAGCACTGTGCATCCAGTGCTTGACCAAATTTTTTGATACACTGCAAACAGTGTGCATTTGGTGTGATATTACGTCACAATAGAGTGCGCGCAAAGTGCGCAGGTTCTCGTACACATAAAAGATGCGCGATGAAAATGACAAAATACGGCGCGGTCAATACAAGATGCCCGGATGCGAGACTGTGGAAAATACCAAGGTATATTTTCACTCGTCTCTTCACGCAAAAGTCAATACGCACAGGGAGACCAAGGAAAATACAAAGAATATACTCCTCCGTTCCCACTGCTAGTGAAAACTAGGGCAATACGGTTTTGTAAATGACCAGCTCAGATGTCTGATACGGGTAATAATCAGTATTATCATTTAAAAAAGAAATCATTATTAAATTAAAATTATTATTATTATACATACTATTTTTCAGGGGTGATAGTGAGCACTAAAAAAAAAAAAAATTTTGTTTTTTCCCTCCCCCTCCCCCCCCCCCCCCCCCCCCCCCCTTGATTAAAAATGAGAAGAGGAATCGCGAGGGGAAAAAATGGCATCTAACAACATTATCCCCTTTCGAGTAGGAAAATTGGGAAAAATGGGAAAGATTAGAGAAAAAATAATGGGGAAATCTGTAAAATCAGGATGAAAGAGGGAAGAAGAAAAAAAAATCTGGTAAAAAATAAATATATATATATACATGTATATATATTTTTTTATTTATTTTTTTTTAAATAGGGAAGCAAAAAAATAATCGGGAAACCGATTTAAATCGGTTTTTTATCAGGCCTGTATTTTTATAGTCATCTTTATTATTATTAATGTTATCAATATTATCATCATAGTCATCATCATGATGTAAAATCACTATATTGCCTTATCTTGCAGTGGTCTTTCTGCACGGAAGGAGCTGAAAGAGCAGTGTGGACTGTGGATGAAGCTCAATTTTCTCCTTTCATCGTCCATCTCTATGGTTTACACGATTGCTGAGGATGGTAAAGTAGTTTATGATAGTTTCCTTGTTTTATTTCTAACACCATTCATTAAAGATAAAGTTGAGTTGTGAAAGAGATCCGTTGTGAAATCAATCAGAAAAAGATGATCATCTAGCATATATAAGTATTGGGTATATACTACAACTTTAATTCAGAGCATTCTGGATCAAATGATGAAAAACAAAAGTAACTAAAAGTTGACACAAAACTGCTATTGGTTAACTTGTTGACTATAATCAGCCACTTTACATTAATTGAGAGTGTATTTAAAAGGAAAAAAACAGTATTGGAAATGCCCCAATTTCAAAAAATGAAATGGAAGCTCTTATTACCAATCATGTGAAAGAATATGTTTTGACTAATACATGTACATGATGATACAAAATTTTGCCGGGAAACCGCCTACTAATTGATATATTTGGTAATTAGTTTATCTATTGGTGTGTGAGAGATAAACGCACTTGTCACGCACGTGTGCGTAGTCCCATATACATCTTTCTGTGTACAGTGCTTGTAACTTTACGAAGACTGGGTCAAATTTCTTATCATTTTGATGATTCCAGAACCTTGCAGTATACACCAATACTTATATGCTAAATGATCAACCTTTTCTGATCGATTCTACAACGTTTCTTTCACAATGCAATCGCATGACAATAACTGGTCTTTATTTTTAATCTTGCAAAATCTCTTTTCAGAAGTATATTTAAAGACCACATTCTTAATATTACCACAGGAAACTATATAGTACACTTTGAGTAAAGAGAACGGTTGGCATAACGCATAAGGGATAGGTTCAGTTCTGGGTTCTGGTTAAATATATTTGATTACCTGATAGGTTATTTTCTTTGGGTGATTATAGTCTGACCTGGTTTGGTGTGCGCAGTTTCATGTTATTCTTTATTTTTTTCATACTTATCCCAGTGGTGGATCGAGGGGGACGCCCCGGGGGGCCAGGGTCTTCCCCTATGGCCCAAATAGTAGGTTGAGAAAAAAAAGATGGTAACGCGTTATTTTTACCTTTAAA